TTTGTCTGTAGTTTTACACTTCTCTCAGTTACTTCCTGGTAGGATCTGTTTGGAGTTTTACACTTCTCTCAGTTACTTCCTGGTAGGATCTGTTTGGAGTTTTACACTTCTCTCAGTTACTGCCTGGTAGGATCTGTTTGGAGTTTTACACTTCTCTCAGTTACTTCCAGCTAGGCTATGTCTGTAGTTTTACACTTCTCTCAGTTACTTCCTGCTAGGCTATGTCTGTAGTTTTTACACTTCTCTCAGTTACTGCCTGGTAGGATCTGTTTGGAGTTTTACACTTCTCTCAGTTACTTCCTGCTAGGCTATATCTGTAGTTTTACACTTCTCTCAGTTACTTCCTGCTAGGCTATGTCTGTAGTTTTACACTTCTCTCAGTTACTTCCTGGTAGGATCTGTTTGGAGTTTTACACTTCTCTCAGTTACTTCCTGGTAGGATCTGTTTGGAGTTTTACACTTCTTTCAGTTACTCCGTAATAAGCTTTGTCTGTAGTTTTACACTTCTTTCAGTTACTCTCTGGTAGGTCCTCTCTGTAGTTTTTACACTTCTTTTGGTTATGAGTTAACGTTGAATTTTTTTAAGTAATTGTTATTTTGTTTATTGGTATTACCAGAAGATGGAGAGGAATGAAACTTTTACTTTCTTATCATCCTATGTTTCATATCTAACTGTTATGAAAGTTATAATATTTACATTTTATCTTCGATGAAGGATTGAGATAAATTCAAGTACATGAAGTAAGTACAATATATAAAGCATATTTTGATTATTTTTCAAGTCGGAAGATTATATTTTGAAGGCTTACATAAAACGGAAACATTGGTTACCTATTCACTATTATTTTGACCAATAAGTTGAAAATAACCTTGTAACACCCATTACAGTATCACACATATTTCATAAAAGTTGAATATTAGCCGTGGTGAATATTGATGGCGAAATATTTTGTATTAATCTTGGTCGATTTGTTGTGTTTTTTTCTTTTTAGGTTGTAATTATAACCGTGTATATTCAACACATAAAACTTTTTAAAATCTCAGACAGGAGAACGTAGTAATGATGTTGGCCCCGCAATATTATGTTGTTTTTTTTTTACGATGGGGTTTTCTTCAGTGGGTTTCTTAGAGAACTAATTTAATTTGTTTGTTTTTTGAATTTCGCGCAAAGCTACACGAGGGCTATCTGCGCTAGCTGTCCCTAATTTAGCAGTGTAAGGGAAGGCAGCAGCTAGTCATCATCCCCCACCGCCAACTCTTGGGCTACTCTTTTACCAACGAATAGTGGGATTGACCGTCAATTTATAATGCTCCCACGGCTGAAAGGGCGAGCATGTTTGGTGGAGACGGGGATCCGCAGATTGCGAGTCGAGCGTCATAAACACCTGGCCATGACTAATTTCATAGTCTTTTCTTTCCAAATTAAATATCTTTGTTTCAAATATTTTATTGAATATCAATAAACGAAGATGTATCCGCGGTAAACTGAAGGGATTATAAAGCTATTAGTTGGGTTAGATCGCCCACCCCTTTGTGTAACTTTGCCCTAAAATAAAGAAATTTTATCTAAAAATCGCAATTAGTTTCATATTCGTAAATATATCATGAAAGAAAACGATAGAAAAATTATATTTTTTAAGAATTTAATTTTTCGGTCACAAAAAAATTGTGATAACTTTTTAATCTACTCTAGGTTGTCTCTCTCAGTGCATGAAAAGATTTTTAATTTAATTGGTAACCTCGAATTAACCATAACGTAGTTTTCGAAGTATACTCTCAACAAATAAACTGAACTTCAAAATTACAGATTAACAGATTAAAACTACAGATTAACAGTATTGTTACGTCTCCGTTTGTTAATTAACTTTCCGTAACTTCGTTCCGACGAAAC